AAAAAAAAAAAAAAAAGACTCTGCGCTCCCAATGCAGGGGGCCCGGGCTCAATCCCTGGTCAGGGAACTAAATCCCACATGCATGCTGCAACTAAGAGTTCGCATGCCACAATTAAGGAGCCCACGAGCCACAACTAAGGAGCCCACCTGCCGCAACTAAGACCCAGTGCAACCAAATAAATAAGTAAACAAATAAATAAAAATACAAAAGTTAAAAGAAAAAGAAATTCTGAATGAAATAAGTCAGACACAAAGGACAAATCTTGCATGATTCCACTTATATGAGGTTCCCCAGAGCAGGCAAACTCACAGAGGCAGATAGATTCATGGGTATCAGGGCTGAGGGGAGGGGGAAGGGGGAATTAGTGTTTAAGGGGGACAGAGTTTCTGTTTGGGAACGTGAAAAGTTTTGGAAATAGATGGTGATAGTAATGGTTGTACAACATCGTAAATGTAGCTTATGCCACTGAATCGTACACTTAAACATCATTAATGTGGCAGATTTCTATGTCGTACATATTTTAAAATGTTTTTTAAAAATTAATAGTGTAATAGACTAAAGCCATTGACTTAGATACTTAAAATAGGTCAACTGTATGTTAGGTGAACTATATACCCCAATAAAGCTGAAAATAACCTCTAAAAGGATCCTTGAATTCACATTGAAGAAAACAAAAGTACTAACAAGCCCCTTTGCAACAGTCTCACCAGCAGCCCACAGCCATCTACCCCTACCCCTGGTTTAATCTTCGACCAAAATACTCCGCTCCCAAGGGCGGGAGAGGGCTGAGTATGAAATGAAGCACACACACACTTTCACTCAAGGAGAAAAGCATTTTAATAGAGAAAAACACAACTCCTACTCCACACACTAAGCCACAGACGTCACATTATGGCTGTCACTTTTCTTACAGGCTGGAATGTCCAAACAGCTCAAAACTGCACAAAGGTTAAAAATCAGGAAAGTGCACAATCATCAGGAGAATGGGAAAGTGCCAGGAGGGGGGTCAGGAGCAGTGAAGAGTGGGAACCCAGGCACAAAGGACCATGGGGAGGGACTGGTCGGGAGACAAGAGAGGTCAGCACTCTGCAAATGAAGGCTGTGGCCACAGCCAGGACTCACCCACCGGCGCAGGCTGACCCCAGGCCCCACAGCCACTCCACCAGGGAGGCGGTGCAGCAGCCACAACTTGCAGCCCCTTCCAGAAAGACAGGAATGCCTCTGAGGCTGACTTTGGCTTGAGGACCACCCCCCCAGAAGCCCTTCCTTAGACCACACAGCCCACCAGGACACCGCCACCCATACCCCAGCCCCACAGCTCTCGAGGTCAGACGGTGGCTCTGCCACCCTTACCAGCATTTCCCTAATAACTGCACAGTTCATCCTGTCTTGGTATCTTCTCAGAGTACCCAGACTAACGCTAGAATGCTATTCAGAGGCTAGTTTTTGGATGATGTCTCAGAATACAGCCAAGTAGGGAGCGCCACGAATTGGTCCCTCCACCAAACCAACCAGTAAGCTGGCAAAAACACAGAGAATCAAGTTTTTCAGCACTCTGGAATCTAATCAAAAACCTGCCACAACCAGGGGAGTGCTTAGTGAAGGAGGAGGCTACTAAATTTCAACATTTAAGAAACCTCTAGGGACCTCCCTGGTGGCGCAGTGTTTAACAATCCGCCTGCCAATGCAGGTGACACAAGTTTGATCCCTGGTCCGGGGAGATCCCACATGCCGCAGAGCAACTAAGCCCACGAGCCACAACTACTGAGCCCACGTACCACATCTACAGAAGCCTGCGCGCTCTAGGGCCCACGTGCCGCAACCACTGAGCCTGTGTGCCGCAACTACCGGAGCGCATGCACCTAGAGCCCATGCTCCGCAATGAGAAGCCTGTACACCGCAATAAACAGTAGCCCCCGCCCACCGCAACTAGAGAAAGCCCACGCACAGCAACAAAGACCCAATGCAGCCATAAGAAAAAAAGAAAAAGAAACCTCTGTTAGGTCACCGGCTAAATGCTAAGATAACAGAACAGAGACTTCAGTGACCAAACATAACAGGGAATACAGTTGTCGCAAAAAAAGGTCTGGAAAAAGTCACTAAATAAAGAGACGACTAACAGTCTTCAACAGCAACAGCAGCAAACTGCTGGCAAGGGAGGAGAACCTGATTTCCAGAGTTACCACATAATAAAATGTCAGAATGTCCAGTTTTCAACCAAAAAATAACAAGGCACATGAAGAAACAGAAAACTATGGTCCATTCACAAGAAGAAAAAGAAATTGACAGAAACCACCCCTGAGGAAGG